AAAAAATTAATTATTTAAATGACATAAAATTATAATAAAATAAAAAAATCATTCTTAAATAATTTTTCTTAATCGAAATGGACAAACCAAACACCAAATCCGTTGCCACATGGGCATGAGATAGGCCATATTTCGCCACACAAGGCAGTTCCCCGAACAGCAGTTAACAGCAATTAACGACAGTTAAATTGGCTGTGAGAGCAAGGACTAAATTGCTTCAATTGCAGAGTTCAGGAGTTTATATGCATCAATTAAAGTATGGGGGCTTAATAGTGATTCTGGGGTTAGTTCAGGGGCTTAACTTATGGTTTTGCCCTTCTTCCTCATCTAACACTTTCTTTCTCTTAGTTTCATTTTTTTATTCTTTACTTCCATTCTCACCTGCAAGTGTGCAACACCTCCTGACAACTGTTAATTGGATCTAACCCACACTCAAATTTCAAAAGGGTGAGAAAGGAAAGTAAGAAAGAGAAAGCTGGAGAAGAAATTTTTAGACTAAAATAAGTTTGTTGGATGATCGGTAACCAGATCTGAAGTTGGAGAAGGAGAAGAAAGAGCTGGATGCTCGGTGACCAAATCTGGTGTTGGATTGAAGTTAGAGATAATTAAAACCTTTAAATATGCCGAGATTTATGTTTAAGAGGTTAGAAATCTTGCCAAATCTGTGATTGAGAGAAGATCCATAAAAGATGATGTTAGGAAAGGAAGCTAAGACTGAAAATCATATCGAAAATGCATGAAACCACTTTAAATTTGAATCGTCTATAATGAATGATGCTGATAAAATAAAAAAGCATCGAAGGAAGGCTGAGAATCACGGATCTAAAAAAACCAGAGGTTTGACCATGACGTAAAAGAAAAGAGAGAGGGCAACTCTCGAATCCCTTAAGGCCCGTGAAAGCCTCCATGAAGAATCCACAAACGTATTGCCTGAGAAAAGCAGAACGGTGAACTTCCAGTGCCTCTTACTTGAGTAGGTAGGAGAACTGCTGAACGAGAAAAAGTGGAAGAAAAAAATGTAATTATGTTTTATTTGTGTACGTTTGATGTTCGGCCAAGCATTCCACAACCGGTTGCCTATCCATTCTCTTAAAATAGGGGGTAACGTGGCAAAACATATGGGCAGGTGTTAGTTGGAGAGTGCAAGAGCGAGTGCTCGTAGCAGTGCTCAATTAAATAAAATGGAAATTTCGGAAATTACATGGACGGTTATCCTCTCCTCCGACTTCTTTCAGCCTCGAGAACGGTGTATCAAACCCCGCCGGTGAAATTCCGGCCATCAACAGGCACTCTGATTCATCGTATTTCAGAAGCTCATTTCCTCCAGCTACCTCACCAATGTGAAGGCTCATCTCGTAGTAGTTTGGTTTGACAAAGAAAAAGAAGCAGAGTGAATGGGCAATCTTTAATTTCTCTGAGAAGTCGAAAGGCCTGTTCGACATTTACCGTCTTGGGTTCTTGATCGGCATCTTGAGATGAGTCGAACCAGAAGACCTTGAGAGTGGCGGGAGGCACTTCAAGAAAAAAAAAAAACCCTAGAAATTGAGTTAGATTCGATGGGGGATGATTTCAATCCATTTCGATTCCTGAAACAGGAAATGAAGAAGGGTTCTAGAAATTGCAGTTGGGTTCGTCGGGGTTGTATTCTTCATCTGAATCTTCTTCTCTGGGGTCGATTGAGATGGATAAGGCACTTCTTCCGTTATTTGCTTCGAAAAGAATATGAAGAAAGGTTCTGATATTCAGTCTTCTAGAGCAAGATTCCAAACAGTTGAAGAAATTGCAACCCCCGGAGAGGATACGCAGAGCAGCAACGATGTTGCCACCATCCTTGACTGTGAGTGATAATCCTGCCGGCGAGAATTGCAGGGTGGCCATGTCGATTCCACATCCTACCAGTCCCGCAACGGCGTTCTCGACAGGGTGCCTTTGCGTATCTCAAGGTCCAACAACATAACTGTTTGGCAGGTTTTACTCTCTTCTTAAAGGTAATATAATTATGCCCGTAATGCCAATTTTTAGGTAAGGTCTTTATTTCATTATCATGTTCATTATGTTCATTATATATTGTTCATTATCCGAGCTAGAATTCCTATCAAAGACAGTTTAGCTAAAAGAGGAGTTTACTTGATGGTGCTTTTGTTGCCTGTGGGCCTTGTGAATTAGCTTTAGACGAATCAAGCTATTTATTCCTTTATTGTACAGTTGCTTATAGACTTTGAATGAGATGTTATGCATGGTGGGGTTTACTTTCTGTGCTACCGAACTCATGTTTGGATTTATTTAAACGACATGCCTGGTTCGGCTATGACAAGTCAGTGAGGAAGGAATGGTATGTAATCTGGGTTGGTATTATATGGAGATTATGTTTGACATACTTTCTGCATGATGAGATGACCAGGTCAAGAAGGAATAAGCAGGAACAGGAGGAGCTTTGCTGAATATTTAGTACCTTGAGCTCTTATTGCCTTGATGGGATCATTTATTTAGTGTGAGCAAGTTATGTTCTTATGATAAAAAAAGGGTGTTATATCATACCTATTTGGAATATAAATTTTTTTTTTTTTTTTTGTTTTTTTTGTTTTTTTTTTAAGTAAGGGAAGTTTTATCATTCAATAATGTTTTCTTGGAGGTAATTCTTTTGCTTATCAAGACATATTTATATAATGTTGTGGTTGAGTTTATATTCAAGCTAGTCATCATATATCTAATGTGCATGTTGTTGACATTTTAGTACTTCTTAGTTCTTAGGAGGTTGGTTATTCATTATTATTTGCAAACTTAAATATATATGAATTGTCCAAAAGTTCTATGCTTCATGTTTTTTTTGTTTTTATTTACTCTTAGAAAGGTTGACTCCTGTAGTGTGAGTGCTTTGAGGACCTCTATGGTTTGAATTTTTTACTTTCAAGAGTAGGTGCATTTTGTAACTTTCAGTTCGGTGATTTAGTTTTTCATATGCTTTGAACAACCTTCATTAGCCTTCAGGATGAAGGCCAAAGGAACAAAAAGAAAGGATGAGTTTTAGAAATGGAGGGAAGCTGGCACTCCTCATGTTTTATTTTGATACTAATTCTAGTCAATTATACATTTGAGTTCTATACCATTCAGTTGAAATGAACAGATGGATGTGATTAGGAAAATTTGTAAAAGAAAGAGGCCATGGAAGTAGAAGTGTAAAATCAGGATCGTTGATACCTTATATGGCATTTGGAGAGCAAGGAGTCAGTTGGCGATGCTGAAAAGTATAGAATGTAAATAGTGTTTGCAAGATTGCAAATGCACAAATTTTGATTCAAAGTTTTGCCAAACTGTAAAAGGAAATTTCCCTAGGTATGCTCGAGTGTAAGATGTAGAATGCTTTTGATGCAATGGAAAGAGTCCGCCTTTTATTTAAAATAACTTCTAGTCAATTGTATACCCTTCTTTTATTCTGCAATTGAGACAAGACTTTTATCTTCTTTGTGTAAATCGTTGTGAAATTGTGTATAAGAAGAAGCATCGTTTTGCTTGTGATACTAATTTTACATGAACATGTTAAAGAGACATAATAAAGTAGTAGAAGCAAAATTACAGCTAACTTTATACTATCTAAGAGATAAAACCAACATCTAGTTAATAGACAAAAGAAGCTTTGGTAAAATACAATATTACATGGGAATATAAAAGTTCCCTTGATGGTACATAATATAATAATCTCATCCCTAAACCAACACAGGCAATATTTAAGCTCAATTCTAGAAAATCAACACATTGAAAGGAAGTCACATTTCTCGAATAGCCTCTGAAATTTATCTGCAGCAAAATGAAATCCTACTAAACTTGATACTTAACCAAAAGAAATTTATGCTTATAAAAGAAAAAGATCTGAAATTACATCCTTAAAGATGATAAGGAAATCAAACATGGTTTTAAGAACTGAATGACAATCAAACTAGTGAGAAATCGCAACAATTGAAGGAAGAACAAGTGAATAACTAATAATCATATGCTTCCTGAATTAATAATCATACTGAATACAAAACTAAATTTGAAATGTAAACTATAATTATATAAAAAAACCATCGAATTCCTAAGGCAACTGATTTATTTCCAATTCCCTTAAAATGTTAGTAATCTCATGTAGGAGGTGCGATCTTCTATTCCCCCTCTCTTTTATGTCCTGATAATTCATTTTGTGTTTGAGAGAGACTTTAAACCTCAGAGTATTAGAGTCTTCAATATCCTTGCAAACCATCTCTGTCTCCGGATACCAATGTTTCTTGTTATTCTTTATTGAACTGCATTATAAGAAAATAATCAATTTTAGTGTATATAGGCATAAGGACTCCTGCATATGCCGATACATACATCAAAGCAATCATATTAAGATCAAAGCCATTTCCTTAAATTACCTATACATGAGTGCCCACAAACCCACACGCATGCAAGCAAGCAACCAAGTAGGCAGACTCACCTTAGTATCTTTTGTTTCATCATATCAATCTTTTCCACTGGAGTAGCCATGTGGACACAAAACTCAATTTCATCTCCCATGTCCGGGCTTAAATAAAAGTTACAGATGGCTTTATTAGCAAGGACACTATTTGGGATTATGATCTTCTCGTTGTCATGTCCCAAGAAAATAGTGTTCAAGATGCCAATTTCTTCCACTACCATCTGAAATCCATCGCATTTCAATTTAGGCCACAAACATTCAAGAAATAGAAAATTGTAAGACCATAAAGGCCAAAGATGACTAGATGAGGGCGTAGTTCATATGATTATCAACTTACCTGAACACCATCAATTTGACAACGGTCACCAACATCAAATGGATGTGTTATAAATATGAAGACAATTGATTGAATTATTGGCTTCAAAGTGTCTCTAAATATGAAAGCAAGCAAAAGAACTTGGGTGCTAGCCACGAGTAGGACTTCCTCGGTTGTTATTCCTAGCATAAGGAGACTTATGACTGCTATGATGATAATGACAAAGACATTTACCACCCAATGAAGTTTTTCAAGAGCTCTCTTGGTATCATTCAATGTCAAGGAAAGTGCCCTCCGTTCT